AAGAGTTTGATCCGAGAGTAATGGTGGAGCAAGGCAAAGATTTTCTAATGTGGGTGTTTCAAGTTAGTGACTAAGCTCCACATTTAGATACTAAATAAGTGGCCTCATTTCTAAAGAGGTGGAGGCTTCCTGTACATGGATTCGGGTGCTCCAACTTCAGGAGCCTGGATGGAGTCTGGCCTTACGTTTTTATTGGGTGGGTTTCAGTGCTTCTGGACACTTGGCACTAACGTAGGTGGAGCTGTGCGCTCGCTGGACTTAGAAAGCACAACCCTTCAGCCGGATCCAAAGCCTTGTCCCAAAAAAAGCCTCTGTGCAAAATGCCTCCATGGTAGCACATAGAGATCTGGACCAAGCTGAGACACAAAGCTGAGTGGTCACAGAGATGGTGGCCCAGTGCTAAGGTTACAGCATTAGGCTTCCTTTTTCCTTTCTGCCTTTCCTCCCTATCGCTTGGCAGCTCTCCTCTTAGCGGCTGCCTCCTGGCTGGCTGGGTGGGTGTTCCTGACGAGTGCAGCAGAAGAGGTACAAGCAGATTAACTCGGAAATACCCTACCCATCTGCCAAGATGGTGTAAATGTGACTGTCCCTGAACAAATGTTTCCCAGCCTAGTTTTTATGCATTTCTGCAGGGCACATAAAGCAGTCTTGCCTGCTGATGCTGAATAGGAAAAGAAGCATTAATTCGCTGAACAGATGCATTAGGTTTAGCAGTGGCAGGAGGCCCGTCACCTAAACGTTCACTCCCAAATCAGGAAAAAGTCAGGGCAAGGGGCACTCAGTCCCATCTGTAGGCATACTGACAAGCAGGGTTGGTAGCCTCTCTGCTGCCTGGTCTTATGATCAAAAACTAATTTGCTATGAAAAGAACTGCAAAGAAAAGTTGGGGTAGGAAAGGAGGGCAATCAAGGCCCCAGGGCTGGGGTATAACCCTGATGTGTCTTCCTGTTCCTGGGGCCTGGGGATGAGAAAGATCAGCTCTTACAGTTGCAGAGAAGAAGTCATGATGTTTTAGCTGCTTTCTAAAGCAAGATCAGATGCAGGCAGCTCTCAAAAGCAAAGTCATACAAAATCAAAGGTTGTCCAATGAGAAGGAATGGAGAAGCAGAAGAGATCATGTTTCTGTTACATTTCAGTGCATGAGAAATTCCTGTTGAATTTTTCTAACAGTGAAGATTTGGGTGTGCGAACTGTGGGAGCAGCAGACAGAGGCACCGTGCCGTGCTGGTGAGGTTCTGTGCATGTCCTTTGTGTCCTTGCAGAGGCTGGTTGTTTGCCTGGAGGAGTCAATTTACATCCATAACATTAAGGACATGAAGCTTTTGAAGACTATTCTGGATACGCCTCCAAATACAACAGGTAAGCGCAGAAAAACTGTGTGAAAGGGAGAGATCAGCTCTGCAGGAGCTTTGTAGAGCCACAACACTCATGTTAGAATTTGAACCAGCCTGGGGTTTGTGTATCCTAATTCAGCCTTGGGGAGCCAGAAATGCACGGAGGCGGCCAGTCGGGCTTGGGAGAGCAGAAACCCTGCTTTGTCCTGAGCAAAACCCGGCTCTGTCCTGAGCAAACGCATCAAAAGAGAGCAGAAATGGTCAGCGTGGTTTGACTTCGCCTCCCAGGTTCGGTCCCTTCCTGTCCTTGCGTGGGATGTCCGTGCAGCTCACAGCTTCCCGCACTGTGCCTTTATTCTCTTTCACAAGCGGAAAGCTGTAAGGCAGGCCAGGACCACAAGCTTCCCTCCACATATAGGATGACTTGAAACTCTCCCTCCGGGGCTCCCTGCCCTTCCTTCACTGTGCCCTGCGTCAGAGAGTCCCGTGGCGTTTTTGCTCTCGGGACAAAGGAGCCCCGCTTGCCTGTGCTGCCAGCGTGAGTCAGCTCTGCAGCGTCACGCCGTGCTGCAGAGCTTGGCACTCCCTGCAGACTTGTGGTTAACCCAGGTTTTCTCTCGGCCATGGACATGCACTGCTCTGCTAAGGTAGAGAGCTCCTGTGATTACTTACAGGCTTGGGGTCAGCTCCCAAAGTGATTAGCGCTGTGACGATCGCCTGCGGCAGAAAACACAGCCAGGCACAGCACTAATTCCCTGCAAGGGAGTTCCCAAGAGCCTGGGCTGCCACCTGATATTATTCCATATATGCTGCAAACCCAAGCGGCAGGGCAGGTGGCTGCAGAACAGATCCTCTCTGTGTGGTGTAGGGTGAATCCAGCTTTTCTGCTCATGGGAGAGGAGCTATTTTTAGCTGCGGATAGGGAAAGTTGGCCGAGTGCCTGCGGCAGCGCTGCCATGCGTTGCTGCGATATCCCGGTCGGTTGCAGGCTGCAGCATCGTTTCACGGGTGGTTGATCGGGAAGTTGCTGATGTGCTCATGCCTGGCTTCTGGGCTTTCAAGGGATGCTCCTCTGGCGGCTCCCCTGACCTACTTCAGGTCTCAACAGATGGCCTCTCCATGTGGATTAAACATACTAAATACTGCAAATATAATTAAAGTTTAAAACCCTTCCGAGAAAGCCCAGCAGCGGCGGGCAGGGCAGGGATACCCAGGCCTGAAGCTGTTCTGCAGTGGGGCTGAATGATCAGGTCATGGTTTAAGAGCAACAGCAATCAGCACTCGCTGGGATGGGACTAGGCTGCTGCAGATCATAGGACTTCATACAGGCTTAATTTTTTAAAACCCTTTTACCGCAGCAGCTGTCATTGAAATGAGCTGAGTGACAAGCGCTGTGCCACGCGGGCTCCCTTTGTCCCTGGACCATCTGCTTTGGTCCCAAGCCTGACCCCGAGGACAGCGTGTCTGGGAGGCCGAGGCAGTCCAGCCTCACTGCTCTTTGGACAACCCTTTTCGGAGTGGGGATCTGTGCTGGGAGGGTGTAGGAGCACACAGCAAGTGTGCCACCCTCCCCCAAAGTGTGCGCCAGCATGGTGAGGACCGGGATTTGCTGCATGCCCACTGGCCGGTCACAGTGAGATCTCTGGCTGTTCCTGGCCAGGACCTGGCTCCCAGTCCAGCCTCCTCCACGCAGGAGAGGAAAAGGCCCACGGTGGCAGAGCCTGTTGTTGTTCGTGTGTGCTCAAGCATGTTGTTTTTCATGTGCCTCGTGTCAGGGGCAGGATTTGCACCGAGGAGGTCACAGTGCTCGTGGTGACATGCATGCCACGAGGGCACATCTCGGGGACAACTGCAGCTTTGGAAACCACCTCACGTGGCTCCTCCCAAGCCCCAGATGCGCCTGAACCTGCGGCTTGGGGGCAAGGCCCAGCTTCTTGGACACAGTAGCTTTTTTCCATGCTGCTCGAGGAAGCCACCTGTGATGTGGCATTCCCAGACATGCCATCCTGAGCAGCACCAGCCTGCCTCCTCCCTCCTGATCCTGCCACTGCATGCACTGACCCTCCTCAGGGCTGTGGGGCTGCCAAGAGCAGAGGAGCATCTTCAAAGGCTGCCCGTGCCCCTTGTGATCCTTGTTCTTTGTGCATCCCTGAGGTCAGCCCAGTGCACTCGCATCTGTGTTTTCCCCTGGCCTGGTTTCCCGTCCGCCTCTCCCAGCCAGGCGCGGAGCAGAGGGAGCGGGTGACTCACACCAGCCGCTCAGAGCTTGCTTTGTTTAGCTTGAGCGTTCTCTAGGTCCTCCACTCAGAGAAAGGGCTGCGCTGATCCCCCCCGTGCTGCCTGGGCTGGGGGAAGACCATACTGAAAAGACACCCTTGCTCATCCTGAGCAAAGTCTCTGGGCTATCTCTGCCTTCCTCCTATCCCTCCCTCTTTGGGTGCCTTTTAATTGCCTGCACTTTGCTGCTGCTGTGCCTCTTCTCCCCAGTGCGCGCCGTCCCTGGCATGATGTAAATGCCTCTGATTGATAGGGAGTGGATCCCTGGGGCCCCTGGCCGATCCTGCAGCTCCTGGCTCTGCTGCGGTCTCTTTGTTTAGTTATAAACAATGACCTAAAATGAGAGCTTCAGCCGATCCTTCCCTGCTGCTGGGCCTGGGCCAGGGCCATGTCCTGACACGACGGGTTGCGCGGCATGTGTGCGCGTGTCCATGTGCATACGTGCACGCGTGCGGGCGTCCTCTTTGGGGAGTATGGCAGCATCCCCGGCAGCCTTTAACCCCGCGGCTTCCTCTGCACATGGAGCTAGGTGGGACCCCCGGCAGGGGCCAGGAAGCTCAGGTCGTGCTGAAGCCTTGAGCCGGATTTGGGAGGACTGCAAGCATGCAGATATGGTGCAGGAAGCCAGTGAGACCCGTTTCTGTGTGTGACAGGGTTCGCTGGGATGGGTCTGTAGCCAGCGGCAGAAAGGAGAGGCAGGAAGAGATGCTCTTTTCCGAGGTCACCTGGGGGACAGGCGGGTGGACATACCCACACACACATCCATCCATCCCTGTCTCATCCTGTAATTCCTGCTCACTGTGAACCTCACTTTGTTTGGGAACCTTTATGCTCATGCTGGCATAAAAACAGATGGCTATTATGGGGAAGAATTCCTGCTATGGTTAAAATTTAGCTAGGTTCAAGTTCCTTGTCAGTCAGAAACTCCTTGTACAACTGTGGCATTTGCTTTGTCTTTCTCTGCTTCCCTTTTCCGTTCAGAGAAAAAGGAAACAGCACTGCCCAGCCCCGCGGCCGCGGCCGTGCCGTGCCAGCCCTCACGTGCCAGGCTTCATACAGGGCTGCGTCCACACTGCGCTGCTCATCTGAGCTTCTGACCCGGCACCGACACCCTGCACGCATCTGGAGGTGCCCAGATGTGCCTGGAGTCCTGTTAGCCCTGAGACCAAGATGTCCCTTGCTGTGTTTCATGCACCTATTCTTGCCTTCTCAAAGGAGATGATTAAGGGGATGAAGCCAAGAGTGTGCCCAAAAGCAGGACCTGGGCTCCTTTTGAGCAGGGTTTGGGGGAGGATGGTGGCTGGGAGAAGGGAGCCGTACTGTCCCATAACAGCAAGTGTCCCCACGCCCGAGGCATTGCCAGCGCGCAGCCGGTGTGCGCCCGGTGCCGGACACTGCCCCAAAACGAGACAGAGCCTGAACCCTCTGCGGTGTCCATGGCCACGTTTCTGCTTTCCGTCCTCCACCAGCAAACAACCTCAGCTGCGTCCTTCTCGCCTTGCCAGGTCTGTGTGCTCTCTCGATCAACCACGCCAACTCCTACTTGGCTTATCCTGGCAGTGCGACCAGCGGAGAGATCGTGCTTTACGACGGAAATACTTTGGTAAGTGTGAAGCTCGCCCATTTGGATACGGGCAGGGACTGAAAACAAACAGAACCACAGCAAAGCCAACAGGGCCTTTAGGAAGGATGAATAAATACACTCCGCCAAGCTAGACTGCAAGGGAATTGCCCAGGGCAGACACGTTCCCCATCCCCCTTGCTTGGACACCATGCGAAGCAGGCAGCCTCTTTGAGATCAGGACATCCATCTCCCAGAATGGGATATTAAGGGAAACGTGACCCATTACCCCACAGCCCGAGGGCCACTGCCAGGCTGACACCGGGATTCCTATAGGGGGTTCCTATAGGGGCTTCAGCAGCGTATCCCGTGGGATTGATGTGACCAGGGTGGCTCAGGGAGGGCTGGAGCTGCTCCAGGTGCAGCGCAGGACCTGGAGCAGCTGCTTTGCCACGCCGTGGGCTGGAAGGGATGCCGGAACCAAAATCACAGAGAGGGTGATGTGTCCAAAGCCCCCCTCAGGAAATCTGTCCCTGGCTGGAAGCAGGGTCATGATTATCTGCTGTTTATGCCAGGGCTTTGGATTACATAAGGCTGCCGCTCAGTACGTGCAGCAGGAGCTAAGGATCTGCAGCAGGGGAGGAGCAGAGCACAAGGGAAAAACATGCTGCTGCTGTGCGAGGTGCTAGCGGGGGCCTGGGCTCCCTGCAGGCATCAGGGTGGTGTCGCTGCAGCAGGATTTGCTGCACAGCCGAGCAAATTGCAGGGAAGCCAGCTCTGTCTCTGCACAAAGAAATGCCAGGGTTCAGAGACGGCACAGTCATGATCCCGCAGCCCAGAGAGGTGGGGAGCTGAGGATCTCTGCCCCTGAAATCAGCTTTCTGTAATCACAGCAGCCATAGTACGTGGGGAAGGAGCTCAAGGCAGAGCAAAGCTAAGAAATGCTGAGGATGTTGAAGGAATACCATAAGTGCAATACAATCCCGTGAATCCATATCGACAGGCCTGGATAGGGCGCAGGGCAGGGAACGCCCTGCCCTTAGGCAGTCCGAGGAGCAACGTGTCTCTTGGCACTCACATTATTTTCTGCCCTACAGAAAACAGCCTGCACGATTCCTGCCCATGACGGGCCTCTGGCTGCTCTCACCTTCAACTCCACTGGCTCAAAGCTGGCAAGTGCTTCTGAAAAAGTGAGTGAGCGCCGCTGCGAGCACCCCCGCTGCTGCCTGTGCTCTCTGCCCACGGCTGGCAGGGGCGTCCCAGCCAGCTCGGCTGCCTGGAGCATGGAGAGCAGGACCTCTGAGCTGCCAGTTCTTAAACACAGCCAACAGAGGAGGGGCACTGAAAGGACTCGGACTTGTAAGAGGCCAGTGTGTCAGGTTCAGATTGACCCTGGCTGGCAGACAGGAGAGGCCTTTGCACATCCCGAGTTTCCTGGGTGTGTCAGAGAAAGCGCTCATGCTCTTTGCCCTGCTCCTGCTTGATCTTTCCATTTGCATTTTTTGCAGGGCACAGTCATTCGTGTATTTTCCATTCCTGGTGGGCAAAAGCTCTATGAATTCCGGCGAGGGATGAAAAGGTCAGTTCATTCTTCTGTCAGTGACAAGTACACAGAGGGCTCCCGGAGTAGAAATTTAAACACAGGGACAGAGCAACGTCAGATCCTGGTGGCTTTGGCATCTTTTGCAGAAGGAAATACAAGAGTGAGTGTATCAAATAGAAATGTCATTGTGCCAGACGGCCATGCTGTGCCCAGCTGCCTCCGGCAAGTTAGTGATTCGATTCAGTGTGCCGCAGAACAGGGCGATTGCAGAGAACAGAGGTAGACTCTGTCCATTTACTCTCTCCTTTCTTGTTTCATACTTGAAATAACGAAGTCCCCAAAGTTATTAGCTCAACTCTTGCTCTCTCTCGAAGATGTTTTGAAGCTACTAAGTCATTTGCGCAGAGCCCAGGTCTCGATGGTGGGGATGAGCTGTTGCTGTCCTTCTGCAGGCTCCGTCAAAAGTTTTCAGTAGATCTTTTCCCAACTTTTCCCTCTTCCCCATCCCTGACCTGCCTGTGATTCTACACCCACTTCTGCAAAGACAAAAACTGCTGCGACCGAGACACCCTGGCCCCGCTGAGCCTGCGCAGGAGGAGATGCCGCATGTATCCGGCTATCCGGCGCTTTGGATGTCCTCCCTGGCCTTTGCAGTACCAGAAGCTTTAGCTGCTGTGGCAAGGCCAGCACAGATATTCACTCCACAGACAGCTCTGTGAGCGAGGACATTTCCACCTCTCTGGCTGTTTGTCACTACCTTGAGGCTACCCCCAGCTCTGCTGAGCAAAGGGATTAGGGAAATGCTAGTCAGTCAGCCCGTGGGCTCGGCAGCAGCCAGGCAGGGTGCTCCTCACTGTGTATGGGTCTCCTTCCTCCCCGTCCTCTTCTCTGTGAGCAAAACCGAGCAGTTCCCCTTGAACGGTATGCCATGAAGTGACCACTCCTGTCTTTGCTTGGCCCTAGGTATGTGAACATCAGCTCTCTGGTGTTCAGCATGGATTCCCAGTTCCTCTGTGCTTCCAGCAACACGGAGACTGTGCACATCTTTAAACTGGAGCATCTCACTGACAGGTGACGGGGTTAGCCTGGGTTAACCTGCCTGCCCCAGGGGTGTCTCTGCTTCAGAGGTGTCTGCCTTTACACAGCTGGCCTCCATTTCCTCACCACGTACTCTCCATGAGCAATACCAGCTGCAAACTGTCTCTTTGGCTTTGTGTCCTGAGGGACTCGCTCCTTGGAAAAGCCACACACTGCATCCCTGCTGTCTGCCTCTCCAGGCCTGCTCTGGGTTTATTACCTGCCACTGTCCCCTGCCTCCTTCCTCTGTATCCAGCTAGGCTGGTGCACAGTGTGTGCACGTGCTCCAAAGAAAGTCCTCGCTTATCTGAGATTAGGATCATTTTGTCTCTTCCTGATCTGTTGCGCTAGCCCCACTGACGCTGCTTTGTGACCCCCTCAGCCGGCCAGAAGAGCCTCCGACCTGGAGTGGTTACATGGGAAAGATGTTCCAGGCTGCTACCAACTACCTCCCTGCTCAGGTATCAGGCATGATGAACCAGGATCGAGCCTTTGCCACTGTCCGCCTGAACATCTCCGGACAAAGGAACATCTGCGCCCTCTCCACGTATGTATTGAGATCTGCATCCCCTCTGCCACGCCAGCCTGTGAGCAGACACAACTATCTCTGCAGAACAGCACCACTGTGGCCCCTTATCTTGCACCCGTGCCTGCAGAGCACGCAGCACGAGTGCGTGCTGTATCTGTGTGTGAGTGCAGATGTGTTTGGACTCATGATATTTTTCTCATTAGCATTCAGAAGCTGCCTCGACTGTTGGTGACTACGTCAGATGGACATCTCTATATCTATAACTTGGACCCGCAAGATGGAGGGGAGTGTGTCTTAATTAAGAAACACAGGTAACTATAGCTCCAGACATATCTGATACAGAGGCTGATCTTTTAAAAAATTAAGGGAATTTCACCTGAAAGCACAAAATGGAGCTGTAGGATCAAGAACGTTGGAACTGACTGTGTGATTTTAGCTGCCCGATCCAACAGACGTGGGTGGGAACCATGTCAGCAGGCAGGGATATGGGGCTTCTTGCAGAAGGAACCAGAGACATCTCAGATCCCTAGGCAGCTGTGGGACATCTCAGCTTAGACAGCAGAGGTGGGCAGGCTGTGCCTTAGGAGATGCCTCCAGCAGCAAGCGCTGACCACTGTGGTGGCAGGAGAGCAGAGCACCTTCTCCAGGCATGAGTGGGTGGTAGAGAGCTGACTTTGGGGGTAGGATGGTGTGGAGCAACGCTGGGAGCTTCCGTAAACAAAAACCCGCACAGATGCACACCTGCAGGCACGCAGTGCCAAGGCAGAGTCTTCCCTGCTACTGTTCACTTTGTATGCAAATTTGATTAAGCACGTACCCACCCACCCCCCCCCCCATCTGGGCTACTTGGCTCCAGATGTGAAGCCTTTGGGGTGGGGTGCGATGTAACATGTGCTCTAAGCCGGGAGGTGGCTGACAGCCAGGAAAATGCCAGCAGTTTTCTGAAAAGCCACAAAACAACGGCACTTCAAAGCTGCGCTGTCCAGCGTGCTCCGGCTGCCTTCAGACACCGCTGACGCCCGCCTGCTCCCATCCCAAGGCGGCCGTCCGGAGCTGGCAGGCCAGCTTTGTATGTGGGTTCCTCTTAGCATCAGAGGACTGAAAAGGGCCCTTGGGTCATGAGTTACGTTACGTCATACTATATCTCTGCTCAACTCTGTCCTAAACTAGCCAGCGCTGCTTTTCCCATCTAGTCCCCTCCTGTTGGAAGCCCTTTGGAGCCCCCTCTGTGATTAGAAACACTGTTTGCCTTTGTAACCTAAAGCTTTTGTGGTCAATCTGTTCCCTTCTATTCTCGTGCCAGCATTGTCCTCTAGCCGAAGTAGTGCTTTCCCTATCTTCTGCTTCCCATCCTGCTTTACTTGTGGAGCACAATGCTCTCCTCCTCTGCAGCGCTGCCAGGGCTGCAGGCAGTGCCTATGTGCAGTGATGCGGGTGGGTGATGTGCTTCAAGGAGACGTGGATGCATGTGCTTGTCTTAGCCGGTGCTGGGGGAGGAATGGCTGGGATCAGAACTAACTCTTCTCCCTTCTCTTGCTCCTCTACAATTAGTCTGCTTGGCTCAGGAAAGATGGAGGAGAACAAAGAAAATGACCTTCGGCCTCCATTACCTCAATCTTATGCAGCAACTGTAGCCAGACAAAGTACAGTGCCTTCAACTTCAACCATGCCAGGTAAGCATCGCATCTGCCCTTCCTCAGGCAGAAGCAAGAAAGCCACCTGGGGCAAAGTGGAAAGTCTCCCAGCTTCCAAGGGTTCAACCAGAAACACCACTTGTGCAAAGCAGACTGGGGCAGCAGGACTCTCTGGAGCTCACCTGGTTCATCCCCTGCCCCAAAAACAGGCCAGGCATTTTCTGCTCTCCTTCCCAGTGCTCGGACCTCTTGCCAGTGCTTCTCCTCCTTGTGCAGAGCTGCACCACAGACGGGCTCACCAGCAGAGCAGTAACCATATCTGAGCTTCACAGTTTGTCAGACAGCAGCTGCTGCCAGGCTGGTTTCCAGGAGTTGAAACTGTGGGTGTAGAAGTCAGATCTCACTATTTTTGTGGCAAGATCGCTACAGATTCTCCCAAACCTGTTACACCGTACCCTAACAAAGCTAGCACTAAATTGTTGCAGGAGAAGACTGGGTGACTATCTCATTATATTCCCGAGTCTAAAGGTCCACATACAGATGTGGATCTTATTCTGAAATTGGTGCTGACATTCATGGCGGGAGGAGGAAAGCTTCTGCCACAGGAGCTAGCCACGTAGTCCATTCTCTAATCTGTAGGGTCAACGGAGATACCTTTCTCTTCCGCAGTCCCCCAGAGCTCTGCCAAAAAGCCAGAGAAAGCAGCTCTCTGCTAAAAAGGTGATAACATAGTGTCTTTGCTGTTTGTTTCCAGCCTCCTTCCATCCATTTATCTGTAATGTTTTGTACTTTTACTTGGACAGGTTATTCGGAGGACGGTGGTGCCCTGCGAGGAGAGGTTATCCCAGAGCATGAGTTTGCAACTGGACCAGTGTGTCTCGATGACGAGAATGAGTTTCCTCCTGTGAGCATTCGGGACCCCTAAAACGGCAATTCAGCCCTCAGGCTAAGAAGAAAGTATTAACCTCTTACAGAAGAGATACTGTTGCCCCCACCTTGTCCCAGCTCACTGTGAAGCCTAAAATAACTAAGTTATAGGGACAGTGCCAGGAAAAGTACACCCCCACTAAATGGCAGCTAGGGATGGGGCAAAGATGATCAAACCTAATAATTAGAGATGGATCTGAACAAAGTAGTTGAATGAAGTGCAGATGCAGAATGACGTTCAGATCCAGATCTGACCTTTGTGCCTTGCACAGATTTCTAGTATTACCAGGAATAGCTTTAATTTGAACAATACCATCATTTAGAAATAAAAACTTAATGCTCCCTGTTGCATTTACAGTCAGTTGTATTAGTTTATGGAATGCAGCTGGGGCATACCTGTCCCTCACCAGTCTCTTCATTTCCAAGCTAACTGAAAAGGAAACTCCTTTGCCAAGTACAAAGATGAAAGGCATAACAGTTTTAAACCGTTTATGATTTTTATATGGCATTTTCTCAGTTACCATTGGAAGAAGATACTGGCTTTTTAAAATCTAACTTAAGCCTGGCAGTGTCTCTCCGGCTCCTTTTCCTATTACACATGCATTTATTATGTTAAGTATCTAACCCCTAAATGGACAGATGTTGGTACTGTGCTATGATCTGGCTGTAATCAGCAGTGTCTTCATAATAGTAATGCATTAATACCGCAGAATATTGTAATGGATTTCAAGTTGTAGACTTGGCAGACTTTCGAATCCCTTACTCCATTTTTACATATCCTGCTGTTGGAGTGTTGCCTGAAAAGGAGGAAGTAAAAACTTTATCGGAATCCCAGGCTTTGTTCCGTAGGCTGAGGCTGACCTCTGTGAGGCACCTTCCTATTAACTGATTCAAGGTGTTATTTAGATAAAGGGCGACTAGCTCATGACTCCCTTTGAAACAACACTGCCTAAATCCAACTCAAGTTGCACAAACCCTAGACCAATTCGCTTTTGTTACCTGTAACATAACCTGCTGCAGACTGAGAACAAGAATTTTCTAGTTGGCCTACTCCGTTACCCAAGATGGATATTTAAAATGTCCCTCCTCTGGTCAAAGTCATGTGGCCACAGAGAAGCTGGTGGCCAGGCACCTGGAAGGAGCAGCAGGGCCAGAGAGAAATCCTTTGCTTCCTTCTGATGAAGCTGCTCTCGAACATGTGGTTTGGGGACAAGCAAATGCCAGCAAGCAGGAATCACGCTGCTCCTGCATCAGCCTTCCTGCTGGGACTGTGCCGTATAAAAGCAGCCCCAAACCCCTGCTGTGCGACAGCAGGTGCTTTATTAAATGAACTTTGATCTGTCAAAATCCTGTGCTGTAATTAACCTGACAGAGCACCTTACATGTGTAATGTTAGGGAGGAGGTGGTGTGGGAGGTAAGGCGCTTTCCAAAAATACTCCCTGATAACGGTGGCTTAGCAATTGGAGCTTCCAGATAAAGCCTCTGCAGCTAGGACTTTGGTTTTGCCCTTCTGTTGCTGACGGTAATGTGTTTTACATCTAGTCTCCCAGCTAGCGCGGCGCTGGCTCCCACTGCGTGAGTGCATCAGGAGGGTTGGTCGGGATGTTTTGATGCTCTGAATTTCACTGAACTTCGCTGTTTTCTCAGCACTGAGATGTTCGGTCTCGATGACGCGTTCAAGGGGGGTTTCAGGCATCGGTCACTTCTGTGCGGAGAAGGAGGGAGAGAAAACCCGACCTTATCCAACAAAAATGTTTTGACAGCATTCTGCTTTGCGGAAACATGGGAAGGGTTTTGTTTGTTTTCCAGTGTGCAACAAAAAAACATTTAAAAACCTCAAAACTTGTGACAAAATGGAATATTCACCCGCAGCCCACGCCACGAGTATGGCTTTGAACTTGGACATACTTCTGGAGAAACAGCAGCGCTCAGACCCAGCAGTTCCCCTCCATTTTGAAACATCTTGCTTTCCCCTGACCTCAACCAAGACTTCAGAGGCTCAGCTGTTCAGAGCGAGGAAAAGCAGCTTCAGTCTAACATAAAATCTGTTGCCAATTGTAAAAAACTGCCTCTTCATTAAACAGAAGGAGGGACAGATCAGAAAAGAGATGAGAAGCCCAAGGAGGGCTCATAAAAAGTGGCCTCAACAAGAGTGAATGTGGATGTTGCTACTGATTGTGCCAGGACTGCTGAAGGATCCTGCGGCAGAGGTTAACCAAGGTCAATGCCATCTCTTGCTTGCATTGATGGGGTGGATTAAGTGCTTTCAGGTCCACTGTTGGTCTTACGCAGAACGGACTCGGGTGTTATTGAGATGGACAGCAGGCTAAAGCCTCGGGTGAGGCGAAGGTGCCGTGCTTGAGACGTGCTGGGAGCAGGCTGCGTTGCCTCTGCTCCGCGTGGTCAGGCGGCTTTGCGGGATGGGAAGAGCAAACTCGGCTCTGGCTGCAGATGGTTGCGGAGATTACGGCTGTTTGCTGGTTACCTGCCCGAGCAGCCGCCACCTTTCTGTGGGTTTATCAGTGTCGGTGAGGTTTCCAGTGGTGTCAGGAGCTGTTGGTGTGTGCTCGGGGCTGGGCAGGGCACCGCTCAGCCAGCTCTGCTTTCAGGAGCTGCCGTAGTGGCTCTCCCCACCAAGGCATGGTCAGAACAGTTTTTGGGTAGTGCTGTGAAGCTTGACAAAAGAAATCCTACAGGATTCAGCAAGCAAGATGGCCTGCGTGGACGCAAGGAATTCACACCAGGGGATCTCTCTTAAAACTTCTGAGATTCAGTAGGAAAGGTGATTTCTTCCAGCAGATTGCTCGGTGCTTTTCCAGGCATACATTTTCCATCCTGCATTTGGCCACACACTGCAACTTGTCAGCTTCAGGACCAGAGTTGATGTGAAGGCTTTATCAGGAGAGCCATTTCATTAAGTCAGGCTAGACTGCGTACAGCAGCCAGCTCTTCAAAGACAGCTTCCCCTCACTGATAGACGGTCTTAAAAACCACCTCTCTCGCATTGATTTTTGGCTACCTCCAAAACTGCTTTGGCAGCCTGCCTGTGCTGCCAATGCATGCCCGTGGCTCCTGCCTGCAGCGTTCATTACGGGGTGCGCAGGGTGGAATAAAAACTCCCCCCTGGCAGTGAGCAGCAGCCGTCAGCAGCTCCTGGCTGCAGCTCCCACTCCTGCCTGCTCCCTGGAAGGACATGCAGGAGCAGCAGCTCCAGCAGCCCGTGCACCACGACAGCACGACGTCCCCACCCTGGGAGCACTGCCATCTGCGAGGGGGAGAAATCAGTGCCCCAGCGTGGGGTCCGCACACACCCCCGCTGCTCCAAACCACGGGTCTTAATACAAGCAGCCAGGCTGCAGATGCCTCTTCGGCTCCACGGGACCAACATTTGCCCAAGTTCCTCCTTGCTGTTTGCTGGATGGTGTTTCACTCGTTCTGTTGCGCGGATATGTGACACTAATGATTTTAAGTTGTTTTTTTTTAACAGTTGGCTGTGAGCAGAGGAAAGGCAATAGATCTTGCTGTGGAGCTCTCCTAATAATCATGTTTCACGGGGGATGAGCAAGTTTGGCAGAACCTGACTGGCCTCTTCTTCCTCACGGCAGCTCCTGTCCTGGTAGCTCAGACAGGCATTTTGGGCAGCTGGGGCTTGCAGAATTAAGCCCAGCTTATCAGTACATTTTCTGAGGTCCTTGGGAAACATGCAATCCAGTGCCAATGCTTGTGCCTCAAAACTGGGCAAGTGATGGTCCCAAAGCCCATGGAGAGACAGATCCCGGGAGGAGGAGCTGGCACAGACCCCCCTGCAGCTGGGGCTGTGGGGATCGCATCCGTACTGCCAGGAGATGCAGGTCCAGTCTGGCAAGGCTGGAGCTGATAAAGGGAGACCTGTGCCTTGGCTCGTGGTTAGTGTCCGCAGAGGCCCCAGCCCTGGGTGCCGCAGCAGCCCCGCAGCTCTGCCCGAGCCTCTTCCAGAAGTAGGTGCACATCTTACCGCAGGGCCTCCGGCCTCGTCCTGTGGCACAAGGAGCTGATGTGAAGTGGTTCAGGATCCTCACTGCTGCCTGTTCTTCCATGCGCCTGCTTTACTTTCACTCAAAGGTTTTGCGGATACTTAGGCTAGGCTTCCCCTCACCTAATCCAGTCTAACATGTAGATGTTTAACTCTGGGCTCCATCTGGAGACCCTGGAGAGACTCAGTGATGCACGGCATGCACCTTTTCTCTCCCACCATGCCAGGAGCAGAACTTTTTAGGAGGACTTAGCCAGGCAAACGGACCTCACCCCCAGTAACCGAACTCCCGCAAGCGTGGTCGTGCTCAGCCCGATGACAGCTAGAGGCAAGACACGCTTATCACCCAGCCTGTTCCCAGGACTGTAAATTTGGGGAGGGGGAGAGTAAATAAATAAACCACTCACAAATCTGCCTTTGAATGGAAAGTAAAACACTGCAGGACATCCCTCCCCTTTCTCCTCTCATGTGCGTAAAACCAACTTGAAACACACCCTGTTGCTGGGAAAAGTAAGGCCATTCTGTTTTGATTTTGGTAGATAATCTTGTGCCGTGGAGGTCAGCCGGGCAAAGCGAAGAGGTCATGATGAGAAGCAAACATCCGTGCTTAGGACAGCTGCTGGGAAGTGCTTTGGAAAAGCCAGGAATTTCGAAGAACAGATTTGTGAGTCCCCAAGACAAGAAAAAAAAAATCCAAGGTGGGCCACTGCTTTTTCCTACGGTACGTTTAAGTGAATACCTGGCCCCACTAGCCCCTTGTTTTAACGTGTGTCTGGGTGGGGTGTCAATGTACTGTATGCACATCGCTATATTTAACAAACTATATGTTAGAACCACAGTGTAAATGCTAATTTAATCAGATTTGTATGTAACCAGAATTTTATATACCTGTTTGTCCCTTTTCTAATTTATGCTGGTTTATGTGTATAAATGTACTTATAGGAAGATATATTAAACTTATGTCTTTGTACAGTATATACATACTATTTTACCCAGGCAAAGTATTTTTGCAGTGATATTAGAGAAGATGCCATTTGCTATGTTCGAAGACAGAATAAAGTCACGGTCTGTCCCTGGCAGCTCGTTGCCCATGCTCCTGCTGTTCTTTGTGGGGCCCTAAAGATGTCAGTCTTGATTAAGTTTTATGAGTGGGAGAGTGTGTTTGGGGGGCCGGTGCAGGGACAGCTGCTTCCACCCGACCCACCTGGCCAAGTTCACACAAACCCACTTACGGCTTGACCAAAGAAAGATCTGGGTGCATAAATCAGAGTCCAAAATTATTTCAGAAAACCCTGACTCAGCTGCTGAGAAATCCCAGTGGTTTCTAAGTTTCAGTTGCACCTTCGATTTTGCCTTTGCAGCTCCCCAGGCCTTTGCATCTGCCCAGAAATGCCCCATCAGAGCTGTTTCGCCCCCCCTGCCCCCCTGGTGTTGCACTGGGATTGGCAGGGGCCCCT